AAGAAACTAATACAGAAGACCCTTCTGTGGCCACAGGAAGGAGGAAGAACCCACAGGGCCCAAAGGAGTGCCCAGGCAGGGCCCCCTTCAGCCTTCTACATACACTTGAGCATCAGAATCCGCAGAGTTCCCTGTGCATCACTCCAGGGTCCATCCTCCCCAGGGCAGCTGGGGTTGGTGGGGAGGAACCCAGCTGGTCCATGGTGGGATCTGGTTATTAGGTCAAGGAACATCCATTTTAGAGAACACTGGGCACCTTGTTAAAACAGTGAGACAGATCCACGCATCCCCACCTGGGAAGCTCTCCACTTCACGTTGTTCAATTTAAAAAAATAGTGAATGGCAGAGCAGTATTGAAAGTGCATAGGACTTCCCTGGCGGCCCAGTGGTTAAGACTCTGCGCTTCCACTGCAGAGGGCGTCGATTTGATCCCTGATCAGGGAACTAAGATCCCACAAGCCACACAGCGGGCCAAAACAAAAACAAAACAGTGCAATCCCAGGTTGTAAAACAAAGACATAAATGTGGAAACAAGTCCAGGGTCACGTTGTAAAGAACCACACCAAGCTGTTAACGGTGGGGGAGTGGAGCAGAGGGGCGTGGAAAAGAGGGTTGTGGTGCAGGGGGTTCTACAGGCAGGCGGTGGAACGGAGAGGAAACAGGCGCAAAGAGGCGGGGCCGGGCGGGTCTGGGCACTGGGCCGCCCTTAAACTGGGTCAGAGGGCTCCGCGCACCCCTATTGCTCGGCGGAGGCGCGGCTCTCCGCAGGGCGGCCCAGATTGGCCAGAGCCAGAAGCCCGCCCACAGGAAGGAGCCCCGCACAGGGCGAGCGAGTCAGCGGGGTGCCGCACCCCTTCCCGGACCTGCAGGTCCTCTTATCCCGGGCGCGCAGCGTAGCGGGTTGGACCGGGTTCATTGTGGACGACCCGCCCCTCAAGCACAGCCCGGTTCGGCGTGGCCCGTAAGTCGGTCCCCAACCCCCAAACGGACTTCTCCGGCCGGGACCACCCGGAACCCCTGCACGAATCAGCGTGCGACCCCGAGCGCATTAATGGCCCACCACGGTGCCCGGTGAGCTCGGGGCCTAGGAGGCCCGTCATCCCGATGACAAGCCCGAGACTTCGGGAGGGACCCCTCAGCGATGAGACTCCAACTCGAACCGCAGGCGCTCGTTACAGTCCAGAAGCGTCCAGTGGAAGCCTCGCAGCACCCAGGCTCGGCAGCCAGGTGTCCCCCGCCCCCACCCAGGGGAGTCGCGACGCGGCGGCCGCGTGGGCCGAGCACCTCCCTGCAGAGCCTCTCTTACCGACGCTGGGCCCTTGAGTCCTCCCACCCACACCCAAACAAGCCACGAAAGAGAAGCTGGGAGCCCCCAGGTCACCTCCCCGGATCCCACTTCAGCTTCTCCAAATAGTGAAAGTCGCCCGCACCCACCAGTGACTCAGGCACACACCTGGTGTCACCTCCCCCGCCCCCTTAGTCCACACCCACACCAGAGCAAGCCTGTCCCCGTACTTTGTCTCTGGCCCCACTGCCACCCGACAACCAGTCCCTCAGGGTCTCCTTGTTACCCCCACACCCCCAGCAACCAGAAGAAGCACTTAAAATGCCAGGGCATCCTTGTGTTTAAAACCCAGCAGCCTCGGGCTTCCCTGGTGGCGCAGTGGTTGAGAGTCCGCCTGCTGATGGACATGGGTTCGTGCCCCGGTCCGGGAAGATCCCACATGCCGCGGAGCGGCTGGGCCCATGAGCCATGGTCGCTGGGCCTGCGTGTCCGGAGCCTGTGCTCCGCAACGGGAGAGACCACAGCAGTGAGAGGCCCGCGTACCACAAAAAAAATAAAAAAATAAAACCCAGCAGACTCAAAACTCAGAACCAAAGCGAGCGAGGTGGGTGCAGGGCTGGGGGAGGTGGGGTGGGAGTGGGAGTGTCCTTGGTGCAGTTCTCCTTTGGGGAGATCTGGAGATGATGATGGGGATGGTTGCACAACAATGTGAATGTACTTAATGCCACTGATCTTTGCACTTAAAAGTGGTTAAAATGGTGAATGTTACATATATTTGACAAAACGAACTCCAGTGGCTGCCCCCACACCCCAAATAAAATCCAAACTCCCAGGCCAACTGCAAGGCCCAGCTCCCCACGCTGTGGTTCCACTAAAGCCCCCAGGTCACCTCCTCCTCCAGCCCTAGCATCCATCTGTGTTCCATCAACACACTAAGCCTGTGCACTGGGCCTTTGTGGGGCAGTTCCCTTCGCTTCCAGCCCAGCATTCGCTCCCACTCTCCCTGGTGTCACTCTTGCTGACCACCATCTCAACTAGCCCCTCTGTGATTCTCCACCCAGAGAGGCAGCATGGTAGCAGGGTTAACAGAGGCCCGGCAGCTGGGCAGGCCAGGCCACATCCCCACCCCAGTGCTCACCAGCTCTGGGACTTGGTGCCCCCGTTTCCCCAGCTGAGAAATAAGGATGACAAACAGGAACCCCCTTTGGATTGTGGACAGAAGGAAGGAGTACTAGTACACGCTAGAGCACTAGGAGGCCTGGCACTGATGGGTACTGTAAAGGCTCCTCCCTATTGGGCTCCTGCAGGTGGCCCCCACCCCAGGCCATCCCTCAGGCCTGCATCACGTGGTTGTTCTTCCCAGCCTATTCACCATCAAACACAGCTGGGACCCGCAACCGTTTTTGTCACCTTGGGCCTGGAGACACTTCCTTTAGTGGCTCTGAGGCAGAGGCAGGAGGGGCAGTGGCCCGGCCACGTACAATGGTGCCCCATGACCTCCTGCACCAAGGGCTGCTCCTGTGTGAAAGGGAGAGAGGGGTGCCCACCGTGGGACCCAAATGGGCGGAAGTCAAGACAACAACCCCAGACCTGGGGCTCACCAACGCCTGTGTCGTGGCTGTCCTCAGAGCCAGCAAGGCCCCCTACAGCCCACTCTCCTTGCCTCAAAGCTGTCCTACTGGGCTTCCCTGGTGGCGCAGTGGTTAAGAATCTGCCTGCCAATGCAGGGGACACGGGTTCGAGCCCTAGTCCAGGAAGATCCCACATGCTGTGGAGCAACTAAGCCCGTGCGCCACAACTACTGAGCCTGCGCTCTAGACCCTGAGAGCCACAACTACTGAGCCTGTGTGCCTAGAGCCCGTGCTCTGCAACAGAAGCCACCGCAGTGAGAAGCCCACGCACCGCAAAGAAGAGTAACCCCCACTCGCCGCAACTAGAGAAAAGCCTGCGTGCAGCAACAAAGACCCAGTGCAGCCAAAAATAAAATAAGTAAAATTAATTAAAATGCAGAGATTAAAAAAAAAAGCTGTCCTACCCAGGGAGCCCAAGAGCCTGTGCTCCCAATGTGGGGGGACTGTTGCCAAGGCCGAGGACACCGGAGGCTGCAGGATGACACTAATGGACAAACACAGTGGCAGGGTGCAGGATACACACCGAGGACCCCCAAGCTGCCTACCAGCACCAGGCAGGGTCACCCACAGCTGTGTAAACACCAGGGTACAAGCGGATCATTTTACCCACTCAGGAGCTGGGTCAGGAAGTAGAGCTGTTCAGAAAAGAAGCCAAAAGAAATGGAGCCTCAATTATCCTGAGGGCTCAAGGCAGTGGAAACTCTGGTTGGGCAAGTTGACCGGGGTCAGCCCAGGGGCCCCAAGGCCAGTGCAGATTCCTCTTGAAGGTTGGAGAGGAGTGCCCGGTGCCATGTCCAGGTCCAGCGCTGTGGCCTTGGGCCTCCACTTGGCCCACCCAACTCAGGGGTGCAGAGAACTACCCACAGGACACCCACACACACCAGCCTCCCAAACCCTTTGCAGTGCCCACCCAAGGCCCCTCCTGTCTTCGGCTCCTCCCAGCCTGTTCCCTAACTTGTCTCCATGACCATTGATCCATTCTTTCCTGTTAAACATTCCAAGGTGCACCTACCCTTTAGCTCAGCCCCACAGGCAAACTGCTGAAGCCGAACAATCACTCCTCAAGCCCCTTCCTGCCGGATTTCCAGCCTGTAGTCCATGGCTTCCCCCTCCCGCCCTCCATTCATTTTCAGCTAGCTCATCTGCCTGTGGATCTGCAGGCCTCAGACACATCTGTCTAACAGAGAGGGGACCTGCTGCCCCCACTGAGCCCCATAAGCCCCACGGGCAGGGTGGAGCTGGAATCCGGCCACTCCCAACCCTGAGCCACAAACACCAGCCCCAACCACAACCACCAACAGCCACCAAGGTGAGGACAGAAACAGCAAAAGCCCCGCTTTGAAGCAAAAAACTCAGAGACCAGGTGAGTCCCGACGGGGCACATTTATCCAAGCCAGCCGCCTCCGGGCGGAGGCCCCCACCACTCTCTGGAGACCAGTTCCTCGATGGCCCAGCCGACAGTGTCCAGCTGGGGTTGGGCATCCCCTCCAGCGGCGGTCCTCAGTCACTGCCTGGCTTCCTCCGCCTGCCACACCAGCTCGCCCGAGATGTAAGTGGCCCGGACGTGGAGAGAGTCATCGAGCACCACAAAGTCTGGGTCAGAGGTGGGTGGTGAGAAGCAGGCAGGGGCAGGGCTGCCACTGTCCCCACCCCAAGGCCCGGGTGCAGGAAACCAAGGCCCGGCACACGACTTGTGCAGGACATCCCGGCCCATCATAGACTGAGGCCCCAGAAGCAAGACTCCGGGCAGCAGAGAACAGCCAACAATGTTCCCGCAGACCCTTGCCTGGCCCGTCTCAGATGCCAGAAGGCCTGGCCTACCGGATGGGAAAGGGGGGCCGGACCGAGGCCACTGGCCAGGCAAAGCCACCTAGGTGAGGGGAAGAGCCCACCTCCTGCCCACCTGCCTCCCTGGCTCTGTCCCAGGCCTCCCAGGAACTCCCAGGCCGCCCCTCATTGGGCGCTGACCTGCATCGGCCCCAAAGTCCAGGGTCCCCTTGTGCTTCTCCAGGCCCAGCAGCTGTGCAGGGTGCAGGGACGCAGCCTCCAGGGCAGACTCCACGCTGCAGCCTGCTCAGGGAGCACAAATGGGTGACTACCCCCAACCTCTGGCTGGCTCTGCCATTTGACTTCAGGGCAGGCAGGGCCGGGGGTGGGGGCGCAGCGGCAGAGCACCGAGTTCTGGGTGGCCTCATGATGCCTGGGGTCCTCCTTTCTGGAGGGGTGCTTTTCTTGGAAGCCAAGGGGAGGGGCCTGCAGACATTTGGGTCTAAAGCATTTTGTCAGTGAGGTCCCTGCAGGGCTGGGATGGGTGAGTGGCAGGAAGAGGGTACCCAGCAGGGTTCCCCCCCCAGCCCCAGAGCTCCAAATCCTAAGGTCACACCCCAGGACTCCGCAGCAGGGTGACGAGACCCTCCCCTCCCCCCAACCTGAAGATACTGCTGGGTACCCCAATTCTCTCCATCCCCTGCTTCACCCCCCAAGCCAGGCCAACAGCTGTCTGTGCCTCCCAATTCGTCTCCCTGCGGCTCCAAACAGCACCTTGGACCACGGTGCCCCCCACCCCCGGCCCCCTGCATGACATCCCAGCCCCAAGGCACTGCCAAGAGCCCCACAGGGCCTGGCCCACCACAGCCTCTGCCAGACACACCCTCCTCACCTCCCCAAGAACATGCCAACCCCATTGAGAGGCCCCCGAGCAGCCCAACCCTGGAGCCTGGAGTGCTGCCCCCACCCCACTGCCCTCCACAGCTCTGCACCTGCCAATCCTGCAGTCCCACAGGACCCAGGCCAAGGCCCTGCCCTCGGGTGCCGTGGCTTCAGTGCCTGTCACTGTGGGTTCCAGCCATCCGCTTGCTCGCAGCCCTCTCCCTCTGCCATGAGCTCCTGCAGGCAGGACCTTGGCCACATTCCTAGTGCCCATCCCCTGGGGACCCCACCAGACACAGACAGGCCCTGGTGGTCCCCACTCTTCCCTCCAGCTACTCCCAGATGTAGCCTCTGCCCCAGCACACACACACACACACACGCGCGCACACACACATGCGGCACACGCACCCCAGCCTCACTAACCTGTGGCCTGCAGGAAATGCCGGACGCAGGTATCCATTGGGGCTATGCTGCCACTCAGTGTGTTGGTGCCTTGAGAGCAGAAAGGGCAGGTTCTGGGGAGGCCAAGGGCACCAGGCACATTGGGCCACCCGAGGGCCCAGTGGGTCGGCAGGGGACACCCAGGTTCTTATATCCCACCAGAGAGGCTGAGAGGCTATCCTCACTCCGGCAGTCTTCGGGACAGGGGTCACTCACCTGCCACATAGGCTGTCAGGCCATCCACCTCCACCTCCTGCTGCCCCAGCGTGTGACGGCCATTGCCCAAGCCCAGGGCAGGGACAGCATCAGTGACCAGCACCAGCCCTGCAAGGGGAAGGGGCCTCAGGAGCTGCCCGGCCTGGTCTTCCTACTGGCTCCCACCCTGTATGGCCGCTCACCCTCGGGGTGGGCCCGGTGGGCGATGCGCAGGGCGGCAGGGTTGGTGTGTATGCCGTCAGCAATCATCCCGTAGAAGATGTGGCGGCCCAGGGGCAGCCGATCACTGGTCAGGAGCCCCACGATGCCTGGGTCACGGTGGTGGAACTGGGCAGGGGCAGGCGGGGGGCGCTGAGCAACAGCAGGACCCCTGCACCCTCCCGCCAGGAGCTGGGGTGGCACTCACAGGCAGCATGGCGTTGAAGAGGTGGGTGATGAAGGTGGCCCCGCTCTGCACGGCTTCCTCCGCAGTGCCCAGGTCAGCTACTGAGTGCCCTGCGGCGACCCAGACTCAGACTCGGCACCCAGCCCAGGACCCCGGGTGGGCTGGCCCCCGAGGTGATGACACACCCCCTTACCTAGGGACACGCAGATGCCAAGGGCCGTCAATGCCCGGATCACCTCGTGGCTGCGGCCCAACTCGGGGGCCAGTGTCACGATGCGGACGTTGTCCAGGCCCCCATAGGTGGCCAGCAAGTCTTGGAAAGCGTTGGCCTCAAAGGAACGCAGGTGGGCCTCGGGGTGTGCACCCCGCTTCTCGTGGCTGATGAATGGGCCCTCCAGGTGCACCCCTGGGGGGAGGGGAGGGGATGGTTCCAGCAGGCCCCCTGCCCTGCAGCCCCCACCCTGGCCCCTCTTGCCTGCCCGCCCTCCCTCCCCAGTTGGGCATCTGGAAGGCAAGGGGCTGCCAACAGGTCCCCAAGGAGCCTCCCAGGGTAGGGGTGGGGAGAGGAGTCAGCCACTCACCGAGGACCCCTGCCCCATGGGGACCACCACTCTTCACGGGGATCTGAGGAAGGACCTGGGGGGAACCAGCTGTTAAAGCCCTGCCCCCCACGGCCCAGCACCCAGAGGTCACAGCCCAGTCAAGGTCAGAGCTCAGAGTTCAGAGCCCAGCCCCTGCTGGCCTTCCCTCAGGTGTTAGAAGATGGTCGAAGGCCCCAACCACGGGAAAGCACAGCACATCAAGAAATGACAGGTGGGCTTCCCTGGTGGCGCAGTGGTTGAGAGTCCGCCTGCCGATGCAGGGAACACGGGTTCGTGTCCCAGTCCGGGAAGATCCCACATGCTGCCGAGCGGCTGGGCCCGTGAGCCATGGCCGCTGAGCCTGCGCGTCTGGAGCCTGTGCTCAGTAACTGGAGAGGGCGCAAAAGTGAGAGGCCCGCGTACCGCAAAAAAAAAAAAAAGAAATGACAGGTGCCCAGGGATGCAAACCTGCCCTGCCTGAGAGGACCTAGAGGCGGGGAGACAGCTCCCAAGCAGGGGGCAGGCACATGGCACCAAGGTCCTCAAGGGCCCCGTCAGACAGCAGCTAGGACGCAGCAGGCTGCACACCAAAGGGTCTGGACCTAGACAGGATGACCAGCCTGGCCTCGCTGAGCTGCAGGCCCAGGAAGCAGGGCTGACGCAGGAGGAGGGCACGCAGTCCAGGCAGAGCAAGGGGCAGAAGCAGGGCTTGGTGGCCGGAGAGCTCAGGCACCGATGGCGCAGCCACACTGTGCCCGGATCTGGACACCAGAGGCAAAGTCACTTGTGTGACTCTCTGGGAAGAATGGGGGGCTTGAGGGCAGGAGATGGGCCTGAAAGGGCTAACAGAAAGCTAACTCTTATCTTTCCTGGTGGAAAGCAACATTTACGCTGCCCTAAACCAAAAAGTTGAGCAGGAGTACTAGCACATTTTCTAGAGATACGGGGGCAAATTCCAAGGGTCAGCTGAGTTGAAAGTGATTACCTCTAGGTGGGAACTGGTGGGAACAAAGGGCTGCTGTTTTTCCTAACAAGCCGTGTGATACACGTAAGTTCACTAAAGGGTTAAAAAATTAAAATTAAAAAAAGAAATAATGGCTGCATTTTTCTAGAACAGAGTTTTAAAAGGGAATGCTAGAAAGCACTGAGTAGACAGACCAGTCTGGAGATGAAGGGAATGAGGCACGTTCAAGGCAGGAAAGCAGTGGAAAAGGTGAAAGTGTAGAGGGCGTGTGGGGCCTGAGGAAAGGGCCTGGCTGCCACCCTGAGGAGGTGCCTGATGTTGACTCAGCAGACAATGGACCTGAAGCAGAGAACAACGCGCTCAGACCCTCCTCCTGGAAGGGTAGGAAAGGGCAAGACTGGAGGAGGAGACCCCAGAAAAAGAGCAGGTGGTCTCAGTGGACCTGAAGAACTTCTGACAAAGTAGCAATCTGTTTCCGCCCACTGTGAAACGTCCCTGAAGGGAGATGGGGCAGAACGAAGGGAGGGGCGTGTGTGGGGACATCCAAGTGAACAGTTCTCTAATTTCTAACGTGATACTGGTATCAAAGTTTTCATATTCAAAGCCCTCCACGATTTCCACCATAAATCAGTTTACTCTATGCCTCCCAAGGCTTTCATCCTGTAAGCATTTATGAAGAGTGACAGGAAGAAAACGTAAGACAGAAGCCCTACTGGCCCAAAACTCCTTCCCCTATGGAAGAAGCCCCACAATTCATATCATGATGCTCGAAGGTGCTGCTTGAAATCAGGGGCAGCGGGTGACAGCACGGCATGGGCAGCGCGCAGCAGAGGAGCTACACAGGACGGAGAGAGAGAGGCAGAGGCCTTCCACGCGGAGAGCTTGGGGGCAGAAGAGGGAGCTGCCTCGAATGGCTGAAATGCAGGTGGGGAAGGAATGCTCAGGAGGGTTGGTCAACCCTGCAGGAGGTTGGGGAAAACATCAGTGTTGTGCGGAGCCTGACACCTAGGAAAGGCCACTCTGGCAGGACCCAGGGCTGGGAGAGCAGTTGGGAGACTGGGTTAGGAGTCACTAAGCCTCACTGTTGGGGACCAGGAGAGGGGAGGAGAAAGAAGGGGGGGCAAGAGGGTAGGCATGTTCCTGGATCCTGGGCAGGGAAATTACAGCCTGATGACTGAAAGAGAAAACACAGAACTAGGGGCCAGTTTGCAGCAGGAAAACGAGATTGGTTTTTGACATCTGACTGTGTCGTGGGAGACTCGGGGAAATTTCCGGAAAGATGTCCATAGCTGACATTTACCAAGGGCATACTATGAACCAAGCATAGTGCTGAGCGCCCAATCCTAAGAGATGCATTCCGTTATTATTCTTACTTAAGGCTTGAAAAAACTGAGGTTCAGAAACAAATAACGTTGTCCCGAGTCTCCCAGACGATACACGAGGTCAGGGGGCCAGGACCGAACCCGGGTCCACAGCCAACCTCCCCCAGCTCCAGGCTCTGAGTCTGCGTGCACACACCCAGGAGGGGACCCCACAGCAGGCAACACAATCCAGGATCCTGGGATGGATCCTGGTCTGGAGAAAAACTACAAAACTAGAACATAAAACGTAGACTAAAAGGAAACCGTGTTAATTCCCCAAACTCAAGGGCTCCATGGTACTCGAATAAAGGAATACCAGTGCTTTTAAGAAAGGGATAAATACTAAGGAGCAAACACGTATGTTGTGTGCCAGCTACAATTCAGAAATTCAGAGAAACAGAACAATATACAAACAGAGAAAACAAGATCAAATAACATAACGTGGCAAAGAGCAAAACCGGAGAACCTGCGTACAAAGTAAAACTTAAAAGAAAAATGGACCGTGGACAACTGAATCCCAAGACTTGCAGATAAGAAAGAAGTGTGGTGGTGCATGCGGGAGCAGCAGAGGAAGCCTGGGGCAGGCGATGGAGCTTCTTCCTGGAGAGCTGTCCACTGGCACCGCATACCACACATCGGTGGTGGGGCATGATCAACTAAGGATGTGGCAATCACAGAGTCCCCAGCAGCCTTAGTCAAGGAGGTGCCTGGAGGCGGCCAGACTGCAGGGTGGGGAGGGCGTATGGCAGGTGGCTGAGGCAGCGAATGCGGAAGCCCATGGGGACAGTCAGACCCGCAGTGGCACACCAGGCGGAGGAACACCTGCATGAGAAAGCCGAGGGGAGGGGACCCCCAAGTCCAGGTGGAGGGAGGCCAGCAGGTGAGGCCAGACTCAAGGGCCAAGGGGTGTTCGTGAGGGAAAGAGATCAGATTTGAAAATTAAGAGGCTGGGTGTTCCTGGGGCCTCCTTCACTGGAGGCCGGGAGCCTGACCTCACCTTGCAATAAACCTCCGGTGGCGAGGTGACCAACGTGGGACAGAAGGAGGTGACTCCGTGCGGCAGGATCCTCCGGGCCACCAGGGCGACTCCCGAACCCACGTCCTCTGTGGCCTGAGAGAAGTCAACGCCAAACCCACCTGCAGTACAGACAAGAAGGGATCACACGGTGCTCAGAGCTCCTCCTCTGGGTCCCCGCCTCGCGGGCTCCGGACCACACCGTTGATCTGCACGTCGATGAAGCCGGGCGCTAGGATGCAGCCCCCGCAGTCCCTCTGCTCGTCAGCCACGCGCCGCTCCTCAAAGAACAGCTTCTCCGGGTCCAGAATGCGGCCCCCACGCACCCACAGATCCTCCCTGCGCACAGAGCGGGGCGGAGGTTCGCATCACCGGCCCCGGAGCCCACCAGGGCAGCCCCGGCCCCGGCCCCGGCCCCGGCCCGCGCCCACCTGAGCAGCGCCCGGCCCCGCAGGATGCGACAGTTGGTGAACTGGATCACCGGGGCCCGCGCCGCGCCCTGCCCGCCGCGCATCCTGAGCCCAACCAAGCGGCAGGCGCCGTATTCCGCGCCGAGTTCCGGCCTAGAGCTTGGCCGGGCGCACGTGACCCTCAGCAGAGGCGTGCCCACGTGATCCGGGCACCCACGTGACCAGCGCAGTACACAATGACGCGGTGACGTCTTCCCGGGTGGCCCGGCCCTCGGCCCCTCCCTCCCGGCCCCGCCACCCACGAGCCCCGGGACCCAACAAGCGACCCACACCCAGGCATCTAGTCACATCCGAGAACTTTATTGGACACGGTTCGGCGCCAGGGCCCAGTGGGCCCAACACACTGCGCCACGGCCCCGGCAGGAAGTGGTTCCATCCAACGCGTCTCAGGGCAAACGGTAACCGCACAACGCAACAGTCTACCTAAGATTACTATAGAGTTGGGAGACAGAGGGCTGCTCCATAGACGTATGAACAGGTCAAATCTTTATAAATAAACATCCAGTGAAGAGAAAATGACAACTCTAATTCATCCTTATACACAGAGCACTCTAGGGCAGATGGGTGGGGGGCGGCCAGAGGCCTGCATCCTCACTGGTCAGGGGCCTGGACCGGGAGTGGTGGGCCCAGATGTCCACGGCACGGGGCAGGCAGGGGCAAGGCTGGGGGCAACAGACAATGGGCACTAGGACACTGCGCATTTACAAGACCAACTACTGGCAGGCAGCTGCCCCGTGCGTGTGTGTCAGGCTGTTCGTTCTGGAATGAGGAGAGGGTGGTCTTTACATCATATTCTGTGGCTGGTGGGCCCGGAGGGGCTACTTTGTGGAGAGGATGAGGGCGACGATGAGACCGTAGAGGCCGAGCACCTCGGCGAAGATGAGGATCAGGATCATGCCCACGAATAGCCGGGGCTGCTGGGCAGTGCCCCGCACGCCGGCGTCCCCCACGATGCCGATGGCAAAGCCAGCTGCCAGCCCACTCAGGCCCACGCTCAGGCCAGCGCCCAGTTGAAGGAAACTCCTGGGGGAGAGAGTACACAGGATGGATGTTAGCCAACAGCCAGGGAAGGCAGCAGGCATGGGTCACCAGCCATCCACCCAGGACCCCTCCTGGCTCCGCACAGTGGCTTTACCCCAGGCAGGGTGTAGGGAGAGCAACCCAGGCCTCACCTGTAGAGACTGATGCCATCATTCAGGGAGTTGGCAATGAGGACTGCCACCACCAGGCCATAGATTGCGATGATACCGGCCATGACCACCGGGATGATGGACTTCATGATCAGCTCCGGCCGCATGACAGACATGGCTGCGATGCCGGTGCCACTCTTGGCTGTGCCATAGGCGGCACCCAGGGCTGAGGGGGAGAAGATGAGGTGAGCCCAGAGCACCTGTGGCCAGGACCCTGGGGGCAGCTTTTGGCATACTTGAAGGCCAACGCAAGTTATCACCCGCAAGGGGCAAGACGAAAGTGGCACTCAGCCAGGAGCAGGTGGCTTTCAGAGGAACAGCCATAGCTGGGCACTCAAGGAACCCACGGTATGGGTTCCTCCACCAGATACCCTCATGGCTGTCTGGCCCATATGGGCTCCTGCTTTCCTGTGAAATCCCAACCCAGGCTCAACAGCACTCCCCATGCCTGCTACATAGATCCCATGCTTCCATGGAGCCTCAGACCTAAAAGGGGGAGCTGTGACAGGCTGCCCTGTCACGTGGGGAAACAGGCAGCTGGGCACAGAAGCCTTGCAGATTCTGGGCACCTTTTGTCCCACCAGGCACTCTCCCACGTCAGGAAAGGCCTGGAAAAGCACGAGCTATGTCAACAGCCCAGATGTTGAGCCCGGGTCAGCCCACAAGCCCTGGGACTAAGTGCAGAGACAACACGCTGGAAGAGCCACTGCAGTGCAGGGTCAGGGGAAGCTGGCCTGGCAATTCTCGTCCTCTCAGGCCAGAGGTTCGCCCACTCCCCACCCTGCCGACCACACTTCCCACAACTCCCAGCCCAGGGACACGCTGCAGCAAGGGCTAGTGTGTCTGTCAACAGGCTGAATGCTCTGCCAGAAAAGGCAGCTCTCGGCACCCTCAGCCACAGAGCAGGCCAGGACCCTTGAGTTCAGGGAGAATCCTCTCTGAACAACCAGAGACAGGGCAAGTCAAAGAAAGGACAGGGTACAGGAAAGACAGTGGGCTGTGAAGCCATCACCCAGGCCAACCCCAAGGCCCCTGCAGACCTGTGAGAAGCCTAGCTTGTGCTGAGGCCTCTGGTAACTGGGGTGGGGGGGAGGCTCTAGGCACTGCAGGACTCCTGTCTCCCCTGCCACTATCCCTCCTCCCTCTTCCCAGGGTGGGCTGCCTTCCTGAAAGCCCCCCTTCTCCTGGCCTGTCTTCCAAGCCTAGGAAAAACGTTTGCAAGTACAACGGAGAACCACAGGGGCCCAGGCAGCTGTTCTGACTCCAGTCGCCACCCTCGAGGCTCCCAATGTGCGACTTGAGCAGATGCTGACATGGGTCAGAGGTGGAAGGGGCCAGGACAATCCCAGACATTCCTGTGCATCTCTGACTCACCTGTTTGGGCTGTCAAAAGATGACTAATCTGTGCTCATTGCAGAGCAGGGATGAGGTCAGAGGGGCTCTGCCTTCCCAGGGCTCTGAGCCTGGTGAAGAGACAGACGCAGCCCCTCCAAGCATGGCAACATGTTCCAGGAAGAGTGGGGAGGTCTAGGGAAAGGTTTCACAAGGGAGGTGACAACTGAGTGGAGGGCTGATAGTGAGTAGGTAGTCACAGAAAGGCGAGGCAAGAGGAAGAAGATTCCAGACCACACAGAGCAGAGACACCAGATAGGGAGCAGAGGGAGGGAGGCACAGTGGTGGGGGCAGCAGGACCTTCACTGCTTCCCCTCCACACCCCCGACATCCAGCCTTCAGGTGCCAATCTTCACCAAGCTGCTCATGGAGCAACAGGGCATTTTTCAGCCTCCTACTACGGGCCCAGCACCACACCAGGCCAGCGCCAGGGCTCATTACTCAAGGACGAGGACACAGACTGATAGGTGGCACTGGGTGAGACCCCATTACAGGGAAGCCAGCGCCCCAGGCAGTGAGCCCTGCTGCAAGGCTGGAGTGGGTGAGAGTTGGCAAGTGAGCTGGGCCCTTCTCTGTAGAGTGCAGCATGGAGATCATGTGGCTGTGCTTCCCCTGGGGGTGGGGAAGCCACAAGAGGAACAAAGGGAAGAAACAAGGATGACCATCAAGAGGGAAAAGCAGCCTGGCTCAGGGTGCTGGGCTGGGAAGACCCTGGATGCCAGCTCCAGAGTCCAAGCCTGAAGGTGCTCCAGATGGAGCAGGGAACAGAAAGAGGAATCAGGACACAGTTCCATGAACATAGTGCCAAACACCAGTGGCTCACTGGTAGGGAGGAAGTCACAGAAGATACGGAAAAGGAGCAACTGACGGCTCCGTGGAAGACATGATGAAGAAAAAATATACAAGACTTGGGTCCTAAGTTAAGAAAAAAAGGGAAGCTGGAATGGGTGATGGGGATTGGGAGAGGGAGTGGACCTCATTCAGTTGTAAGAAGCCCAGTCAGCCAAGTGCTAGGCAGGCCAGTGGCAATCTGGGCCAGGAGCAGCGGACAGAGCTTGCACTCACCCTAGCAGCAGCACCTGAGGCCTGAGAACTGTCCAGGAAGGCACAAGGAAGTAGACGAAGACAGGCCCTGGAGAAAGATTCTAGAGAAAGAAATTACATCAGAGTCTGGCCCAACTGACCAAGTAAGAAGCTAGCTACTGTAGGGCCACAGTAAGCCCCATGTAGGGAGGGGAGCAGGAGTGAAGCTGCATACGAGCCAACCAGAACGGGTGGCCCCAATTCCCAGGAGCCTGGGGCAAGCAAAATACCTCTGGACCAGTGATACCCTGTCTCAGTAACTTCCAAAGACCTGCTGGTCAGGCTCTATTCAAAAGTACCAAGTAAGTTCTAGAAGGACAGGAAGAGAGGCACCTGGTGACCAGAAGGAGGCCAGGAGCTGGATATGGAAAAAGGGTTCGGGTGTAAACTCTGCCAGATTTCAAGTTCCACATGAGCAGGGTTCTTGTTTTGTTCACCGATGTCCCCCAGTGCCTGGCACATAGTAGGAGCTCAATGGAGAATTGCTGAATGGTCAATGACAGACAATCAACAACCCACAAGTGGCCAGGCACTGGCCCTGGAGGCATTCCGGAGGCAAAGAGCAGAAAAGGGTGAGGGAAAAGGGGGTACAGCAGCCTGCTGGGAGGCACGGGAGAGCAGGCAGCTCTGGAAGATGTGGAAATAGTAGGCGTCGCTTAGGACAAAAGGGGAAGTACAGGCCACTTCTCGCACCACAAATGACCCCTTACTCACACATGATGGCAAGGTCAGGGCCCACTCAGCAGCTTGTGACCGGCAGGCAGGCCCGCCTGGGCAGAGGGAGGCCCCAAGCCCCCACCCCACTAGTGTTTATAGTCAGCAGAGAGTGTTTAGAGTTCAATCCCTCCACATACCTGCATAGGGAGCCTCTCCAGTCCACCACACAGGGTGGGGCAGGGCGAGTCATCAAAGCCCAAAACCAGACCTACCTCAGAAGGCCTAGACCAGACCAGGCCAGACCAGTCCACAGGAGCTGCAGCTGGGTCAGGACTCACCTCCCTGGGTCCCACATTCCTGGCCGGGCCCAAGTGCTCTTCTCCCAGAAGGGCCCATTTTCATTGAATTTTACACCCCAGGACTGATAAGACCCAACTTCAAAACCAAGGTGCCATCAAAAACCTTGCAAGGCCCCTTCTCCATTCCTAGGGCAGCCCCTCCCAATTCCAGGCCTCAGGGAAAGGGAGAAAGGTCATTCATTCATTCAGGCCTGAACTGAAGACTTCCTTCTATGGAAAAAAAACCAATCCCCTCAACACTGAGGCTTCATGCTACCTCGCTCACCCAGACAAGCGTCTGCAAACGCAGAGCTGAGGCTGGCCTGTCTCCCAGACATCCATACTGCACCCTCAGCCTGTCTGACCCACCCCCACCCCCCAACTCCACTCCCACCTCTGGGTCCCTGCCGGCTCTCAAGACCAACCTCTCAACCCAGTTTTT